TCTCTCTCTCTCTCTCTCTCGCGAATGACGAGGTATTGAAATGAGAAAGAGATGGGCCTTGTGTTTTAAACCCAACATCCACAATTATTTCTTCTATTTCTATTTTTTTAAAATTAAATTATAAATTCTAAAAAAACTAAAACCAAAGCTTACTTTTRARTCGGTTTAACAATAAATTGTTTTACTTATTTATGTTTTGTTTGTTAAATTAAAAACAAGAAATACAGTATAAAATTTTTTATATTAAAAATGTTTTTTAGATTTATTTTCAAATGTTTTTCTAATTTTTTAAATGCATTTCATTGAAAACTAGTTGCAAATTTTTCTGTACTTGATATATATATATATATATATATATATATATATATATGCGCTTGGGATCATGTGAGATCAAGGGTTTTTCGTGAGACCTTTAAGATCGATTCTCAACCCTCGGATTAGATCTACAATCGTCGAATCTGAACATTCACAAACGCCACGAGACTTCTCAATAATCACAAAATTGTCATCGTGCAATTTTAGACTATTAGATCATTAGCTTATAAAGTTGATCAATGAACGTAAATTGGTCTTACGGGTCTCACGAAAAACCTTTGATCTCACGTGAACCCAACCCTATATGTATGTATGTATGTGTATATATATATATATATATATCATGTGGTGTATGGTGGAAGATTAGATACCAACTCATAGTCGCTTACAATTTTTGCAAAAAAAAAGTGTTTTTTAGTGTATTTAATTTACTCAATTACATATTTTTAAGTGTATTTTATTGACTGAATTACATATTTTTAAGTGTATTAAAATGAACTTTTATATTCTTTAAAAATAACTTCAAAAAAATTACTTAAAAATCGGATTGTTTTTTTTTTTACATAGGACTGGTTTGGACCCAGCCTGGGACCGATTCTCATAATCGGGCCTTCGTATTCGGGTCAGGACCAGGACCAGTTACATGATCACTATTTTGGGACCAAGAACGGTTTTTTGCCATGCCTATTTGGGCCTGCCCCAAAATTTCATTTGAGTAACTACAAAGATGGTGTTTGATTAGTTTAAGTTTGGGCTCCAAATGTCAAAAGTGTCTGGAGGTCCCAAGTTCAAATCCAATGAGGAATAAAATCCCTTGTGACCACAAAGGTTTAAATACGGTGACTCTAGACTACCAACAAAGCAGGTGGTCGTCCTGAGATTAATCAACTCACATAGCGAGTTAGATATCCATGTTAATAAAAAAAAATCATTTGATTGGGGTTTTGGCTCACTAAATCCATCTTTTGGGCTTTTTTGTTATCTATCTTTTGAGGTAGAAAAAAAATCTATGTACATTCTATCCTTAGACTCTACTAATATATATATGATTATCTGTATATGTTTAGCCACCAAAGGTGATGCTATTTTGATCGTGATAGCCACAACTACAATCTATCATAGATTT